ATATAACGACTAATCTTAACTAAATAAATGATTTACCTGAACCAATAATATATTGTAGCTAGAAATTTCGAACCGAGCATGCTTTTAATACATAGGCAATTCACTAACAAAGGATGTCTTCAATGCCTATGGGAGCCGGAGATGACAGATTCAGGCGGCCAAGCGGAAATACTGCTCTATAAATTGAGCTCTATCTATTGATTGCTCTAAAAATGTAAATATATATAGTAGGTGGACTAAATATTTATAACAGCACTAAACATAATAACTCTTTAGATATTACTATTCAAATAAGTAACGTTGAAATAAATCTATACTTTTTTTATATAACTTTAGTGGCAACCGTCGTCCGAGCCACGATCGTCTTGCGGTTTAGCACACTTCTAATGATTGAGTGTTCGATTCCCGCACAATACAAGTTTTTACACTATTATTGTTTATGTTGTAGTTTTTTTTTTATATATATTTATATAATCAATTCGTAAGGAAAGAATATTTAGAGTTTGGAGACGGACTTGGACTGTCAAGAAAAAAAATAAACAAAATTGTACCGGAGCAGAAATTAAAAACTTAAATACAAATTTAAAATAATATTATATATTATTATAGTTTGGAACTAGATGACGTTTTGTGAATTGTCCGGGATTGTGTTGTTTTATATTCAACAGCGGATCGTTATTAGATGCCCAGGTTAGTTACCATTTCAGTTTTGAGAATTAAACTGTCATGCATCAGTAATATCATGGCTAAATTTCAATTAAACCGAAGCTTAAAATTTAAGCTGTTTGGCGGGTGATTTAAGCCTTTTAGATTTATTAATATCTATTATCTATTATTTATCTTTATATTCATATATCAGGTTTTTCTCATACAAATGTATATACTACATTTAATTTGGTAATAGTAACTTAGCAATAAACTACTAAATGGTATAAAAATACCATGTTCCGCTGCAAGTATATTAACCGTTGCTGGTTTTTATTTTAAATTTCAATATAATAACGTCGTTGGTGACAAACAATTTACGTCATCTAGTGGGATTTCATTTTCCTCTTTGTGAAAATGTTCGCTCATTTTATAGCATAAATTAAAAAATACATTTTATAAAAGCTTCGAAATGAAAACTGTACGTGCTATAAAATTGAGGTAAACCAGTAATTTATTAGGAATGCTCTATACTTTGTAGAATAGTTTATTATTAATATATAGCACGATATTTATGGAACATTAATTATAATCAATTGTATAGTCAACATTGATTATAGTCAAATTGTAAAAGAAAGATCTCCTCTCCCCCAAAGATCTCCACGACGATCGGATCACCTTCCAGCGATCTTAACCAGATCGTCAGGCCACCTTGCTGGAGGCCTTCCCACGCTGTCTTCCGGTTCCCAGTCGCCACTCGAGGACTTTACTGCCTCAACGACCATCTCATCCTACGAGTTATGTGCCTCCCATTGCCACTTGAATTTCGCAATTCTTCGGGCTATGTAGGTCACTCTGGTACTTCTGCAGATCTCATCATCAACATGTATTAGAAAACGGCTAAATAAACAAGAAAGACATTATATTCTATTATAATTTACATATTTCATTGTTTTTTAAAAGAAGATACCCCATTAAACAATTACAGTAACCACTAGGGTGGCCGTAAACATGTTTACCATTCCAAATGCAATAGGAAAAATTGCTCCGATATACCAAATTTTAGAGTCATGTCTAGGCCGTTTACCAACGCAAGTAGGTGAATGAAACTTTACATAAGTATTAGCAGAAATAAAATAATATTACATAGTATAAGATTTTCCATTCTTATCTATTTTAAATTGTGTTTCTATTTAAAGCAATATGAATTATCTGATTCTACTCAATTTATGACGTCCGTGTACTTATTGCGAGAGACAAGATAGAAGTTCCAATAAGCTTTTCACATCAATGTTGTAGTTGTAAAAATTATATACACAGACAGATAGTATTAGCTAGTAATTGTTCTTACAAAGGTGGTAAGTCCAGGTGAAGAAACTGAAATGGACAGGATGGGGATGAAAGTGGGAGAAAAGGGTGCAACCACCCGACCCTCTCTGATATAGATTATTGAAAAATAATTTTAAAATATCAAAAGATAGAGTAAAATAACGTTCGTTACATGACAATTCCGTTCAAGTCTTGCCCTTAGCAACTGATAATTTTGAGGAAAATGTTAGTAAAGCAATTAATGTGAGAAGCATTTCGCAAATACATAACTTGTGCTATACAAAAACATTCAGGCGCTTTTAATCTTCGTATATTACTTACTACAATTAATTAATTTTGTTATAAATTCTTAGACATAGCCGTATAGCAGTCTTATTATCTTTAATACAATTATTAAGGAAAAGATGTATTTATACTTTACCGCGAATTTCCCTATAATTCCCTCTCGCTGTGGATACAATAGAATTTGTCAGTACCTAATAACCTCTAATGCGCTGGTCAGCAATATATTTATTCCACTCTAAATAAATAGAAGATTAGTTACAGTGTACATATATAAAAAGGAAGATACATTTCTAAAATATAAAGCGCCAGTTGAATGGTATTAGCGTAAATTGCTTTTAGAATACTTCATACCTACACAGAAATTAATATTTCATACCTGGTATTCATATGTTATCTTGAATTCATTTGAAGATAATTAGGAAAGTAATGATAAGACTTTCCTTTGTTCCATCTTTGTCTTTATCAAGTTTTTATTGTTTGATAACAAATGTAAGGTATTTGTTATTAAACAATAAAAACTTGATAGTTTCTATAAGTTTACTGTAGTAAGAAAATAAGGAGGTTTTATTTAATTTCAAAACATTTAATTTCAAAATTATTTATTGTTAATATAATAAGAAATTCAGTATTGCTATAAAATAAGACCACCAACGTATACCTACCGCAGTTCGCAGACAGAATGATTATTCATAGTTCCATTAGAAAAGAATATACAACCAGGTAGATTTCAATTAAATTATTAATCCAATATTTCAACTTTCTAGGTCTTAACTTAATTAGATTTAGTTTGTACGAAGTTTTTATTCAATTCGACCCAAGTATATTTAACGTTTAATTTATATTTCTATTCAACTCCGAACAATTTTATAAATTTCTAATTTGAGTTGTATTGTATTATTACTAAGTAACTAGAATGAAAACTACTTTCATTTGTTTCACCAAGAAGGGGAAGATAAACAAAATCTGTCTGTCTGTAATGATGTTTATTTTATTCAAAATATACACAAACTGAACACCGTCTAAATATCGGGAGCGCATAAATACTTGATCAGATTGGTCATAAATAATCGTTTCGTGCAATGTGTACTATCGTTACTGAATTGACAAATAAAGCAATTCAAACCCTTATTTATGCTAACCTGCCAACAGCACCAGGTAAACACGGTGATGTTTCTGATGCACTGCTAATACTGAGGAAGATTATAGAGCTGTGATCCCTCCATATCCTGCAATTTTAACCATTAAGAAACTTATCAGTATATTTTCTTAGAGCCAGATACAACTATGGAACTTATAAGTAGCAATATTACATTACCTGACGGAACTGTTACGAATCGTATACGCCGAATACTCATTAACTAGTACAACCGCCTAACGAAATACTGTATCGTTACTTCAGATTTCTTATAGTTAATAATAATAATAGTAATGTAATGCAACTATACCTGCGTATTGCCGTGGTAGAATAATACAACTTTCCCAAATAAAATTTATTTAGGTAATCGTTTTTATGCTTCGTTATTGACTGAAAAATGAGTACAAATAACGCGAAAAACACAAACAATGTTTAAATAACTAGAAATGTAACAAACACCAATTTTTATAGGTTTAGTAACTAGTACCTACGAGTATATACCATTTGTTGTTATTTTTACAGCTGTAGTACCTACATAGGAGTAGATACATAGATAACATTGAAGATTGAAATCTCTTAAATTTTATGATCTACATAGAACATTTTGTTATTGACAACGTTATCTGTTATCACAGAAATTTTAAGATTACTTGCTGAACCTATAATGAAAAAATATTAAATTTAAACTTAGTAGTGGCTGTTATATATGAAAATTCCACATACACTCCTGCGTATTTTTTATTTTATTATTACTCCAAATAGGACCACAGATACGGATAAACCTTCAGAATGACATCCTGTCATTAACAAAATGTACCTACGTTGGCTATAGAAATGACGTCAAAACTGCCGGCTATCATCCGCACACAGCTTTTCTCGAAATTTCAAATCGTTTTCGTTATAAAAAATATTTTCATATTATATATTTTCATATAAATATTAAAAGAGCAAATTTATTGGGTACTGTTATATGCTGGAGACTATGGAAGCCTGTATTTTAGATAGCTATTTAAAATAACATGTTTTTATATTAAACATTAGTTAGAATATTTTTGGCATTACACACAATTCATTATTCATCATCCGATTAATTTTAAAAAGTAGTCACCTTACATACATTTAGTAATTACTTTTTAAAATTAATCGGAATGTATATGTATGTATATACGATCCAAATATGTATGTAATATATGTATATTACATATACATTATACATATTGATTGGCATCGTCCTTTCTTAGATGCAGTCGGATCTTATGACAAACCAAAGCTGAATGCCAATTTCGAGACTACTATTTATATAAAAAGGTTTAATTTCGCTTAGCAACAGTTCTCGAAGCGTCAATCGATCGCAGATGGTGTCATATGCGCCCCCGCCCCGTGCTGCGTCGTTAAACAAGAAACGCAAGCGCAGGCAACGATCGTTTATATGAGTGATGATTTCACACTCCCATTATTACACTGCTGACTTAAAACAGATGTACACTAATGGTAGAAATATGCGACGACCAATGTACGTAATATTATTTATGACTGACTTCGTCGTGATCCCTAGCATGAGTCTACTGTCCAGAATTTCGATTGCTTCTCGAGTGTGTTAGTCTTGTGTTGTTGCTGGTGACCGATACAAGTTTATATTGAATTTAAAAGATCGAGACGGAACCATGTGTGATAACAATATTATACGTCATAAGGTAGGGCATTATATAAAATAAACTAAATAAATATCGTACAATTGTACGTTAGTTATATAGCTGTGTTATATTTATAGGTATATTGATAAATTGTGTTGTAAGGTCACAACTGCGAACTTGTTTATTTTGTATGATTCTTGAATTTGCATTTTCTGTGAATGTGATACATTGCTAAGCATTGATTTTATTGGCGAATTTACGGAATTGGATTTACATACTATACTTTTTATATTGTTTTTTATGAGAAATATGAAATATTTTATAATATGTGAATTGAATTCAGGATATTCTTTATTGATTCTGAATGTACTTGTGCAAGATACAACTTAGTTACATGACTATTTAGGAATAATTTAGTAGAATAACTAGTTACGAAATTAAGCCGAAATATGAACAATGTCTTTAATGCAAAAAAAAATTAACCTCAAATAGGCATTGTAAAAATATAAATAGGTATGATATATGAACAAAATAAAAATTATTGTATTATTTGTAACGTTCCTCATATTCACTCGTACTGGATATAAATTTATATAGAAAGACCCAAAATATTCAGTTCTCTACTTTGCTTCCTAGAATTTAGAGAAAAGTAGTAAAATAAGAATCACTGGCTTTCAGATACGGCACTTTTTATTTTGATAATAATATTGTATATACAATTTATAAATTTAGCAGCGTAATTACGATCATTGCTCCCTAACAATAATAAGTTAGTAAACATTCTTAGAAAAATATAACAAGAGTGTTTTTATGTCGATCCTCTACTAATAAGCGGATTAATTATTTTTAGTATAGAAATATCTTTAATGGAGTTAGTACTTTAATAACAATATTGTTGGATACATAAACAAGGACTTAAGTACTATATAAATGTAATATAATAATTTAATAAAATGCAGAATGCACATTTAACTTCTATGATATAAAAAAACGTGTAAAGAAAGAATATATTATTATTAATATTTAGGTTCTAGCTAGATCTCATTTAGAGCATCTAAATTGGACAGCTCGTAATACTTTTAAAGCTTAAAATGGCAAAAATTCCGATTAAAATGTCACAATCGTAGATATTAAAATTACATTTTATAAAAATGTGTAATAATTTTTAAAAATTAATTTTTTGTGTAATTATTGTTTTTTAATACATTTTTAAAACAAAGAGAGCCTATGTTACTTCTTATTACATCAGCAACCGCCAATAAAAGTCCCGTCAAAATCGGTCCCGCCATTTCAGAGATTAGCTCGAACAAACAGACAGACAAAAAATTTTATTTTGGTGTATGTACCGTATATTCATATGCATGTAGTAAAAACGTTTATTTCAATATTACAAACAGACACTGCAATTTTATTTATATGTATAGATTGAAAACGGCCAAGAAAAAAATTTATACCGTGTACAATTCAATACACTGTTTTTATGTTTTGAACTCATAACGACTGTTTACCTCTATCTTTAAATAAACAAAATTTATTTAGCTCCGATAAACGGAAAGATAATGCGGCGCTTGGTAACTGTTATTAAGCTATAATTTTAAATGGTTCTGAAATAAAATATGTAATTGCTATACGACGTTCTCCAGCCTTTGTTTTGGCCGAAAATTTATTCAACCACATACAACTTAACGAAGTTGTATATGGTTGAATAAATTTTCAAAATAAATGCGAAATTGTACGCAATCATATAATTACTTTTTGTTTACGTATAGGTATAGGTAGTGAGTAGCGTGCCTGTCTGTTTATTTGTTACATTGTTTGAAAAAGTGAAGGTAGATTGTATGTGCATATTATGCCTCGGGTTACAGGTAGCGTAATATGTGATAGTATAGCTAAAGTAACTACTTAATAGAATACATATTGATAGCACTATAGTAACATATTGAAAATTTGAAATAACACGCTATATTTGTTGTGCCGTTGTTTATAAAACAATATTACGATAGCTTGTAGCAAATATAACAATGTTACAAAACATATTGAATTAGTGTAGGATTGAGTTTAATATCAATAAAAATTGCTTTTATAAGATCTAGAAAAGCAGTTCAAGAGCAATAAGCTAAGGTTTATATTGGAATATTTGCATTGTATATTTCTATGTATTTGTGGCTACTCCGTGTTCCCTTCTACATTACACTAGGTTTGCCTGCGGTTTCACCCGCGTTAAATTTCAATATAAAATATAGCCTCTGTGTTATTTTGATGCATAAGCTATGTATAGCTTCATCAAAATCCGTTCAGTAGTTTATGAAAGAGCCATACTTACACACTTTCGCTTTTATAATATTATATAAGGAGACATCTTTAATTATGGCATTATGAAATTCAATGATTCAATTGTATGCATTTCTTCATATATGCACCAGCAGTTTGGGTCGCTCTTATATAGTTTAATAGCTGTTCACCCCGCCTTCACACGGGTGTACGTGATTATACATATAAATCTTCCTCTTGAATCACTCTATGTATTAAAACACCGCTTCAAAATCCGTTGCGTAGTTTTAAAGATTTAAGCATACATAGGGACAGATAGCGGCAGCGTCTTTATTTTATACTATGTAATGATGGTTTAGGTTTTTATTTTCATCAATAAATTCATTAATTTTTTATTACGATATCATCATAAATGAAGGGAAAAAGACGACCGCCCTCAATAAAATATACGAGACCTGTTCCTCTTTGATCCTCAGGAGGATTCTGAAATAAAAGACTTCCGACATCAAACATTGAAAGCGCACTCACATCCACACCTACTAGCAATCATGAAACTTTTATTCTGCAAAGGGAAAAATAAAATAAAGAACCAACATGGCGGTATATGATCAACTAGAAAACGAGTGTTTCGACGATTGTTAATGTATAAAAAGGAACTGCTTTTGTAGGTTACATAGTTTCTTAACTTGTAATTTAATATTCATATTAAATCACAAGTTAAGAAATAATTATTCCATTTTCTGCAAAATAAATTCTTAAGTTAATTAGTGTATCTAATTAGATTAAATCAAAAACAATCGGACAAAAATACAAATATTTGTAGATTATATTTACTGTACCAGACAAAATTTCCAATCCTTTAAATAAACATTGTTGAAAATAAAACATTTTTGCCTCGAACCATATCCTGTAGCAACATCAATTGTATCATAGTCATAGTCAAGGATTCGTCCGTCTGTTTGTTCAGGTATTGTCGCTAGGACTTAGATAAGTTATTTATCTCAAATAGCTAACAAAATTGCAAATAAAAAGAGAGGAAGTAACATATATTATAAACCCGACTTACTCGTAATTTATCAATTAATAGATAATCACCGGAATAAAATAATCACATTAAAATAAATTTCAAAATATTTTTACTGGGGGATTTGGGCTATTGTCTGGTGTTTTAGACCTGTAGCACTGCAACCTACATGAAGCTATTGCGCTCGGCCTTTTTCAGAGCTCACTACCTAGACCTGTCAGGGACAAGAATTGAAGGATATCTTAGGAGCGATTATCTCCTCAGGATAGACTGTAAATTTTCCTAAGGAGTTATTTCATTTATGCATGAGTGGGCTACAACTAAATAAGATGTGTAGTGGCGTTTTCTCTTCAATTTGGCAAAATATGCAGATTTTTGTCTTGACTAGGTTTGCCATATGTACTTTCAATTTGCAGTGTCCAGTGAGGGCCCTCGTTATGATATGCATCATAACGTTGATTTTACTCAATAGCAATAGTCTATTTTTAACTTACAAAGTAACATGTAGATGTAAATTTATTTTCTAGTTCTGTCCAATACAATGCCTACACAGACACTAACTGAAAATGTAGTTTTAAATGCAAACTGTCAGGAACTAATACTGAAAGTTCGTTCGAGTGCAACTTATAATGTATTCCAACTCTATTGTTGGACGGTGTTCCTGTTCTGTATTCTGGGAATGACAGATATTATAACAGACTGTATTTTACTGCCCGCATGAATTTCAGTGAATAATATCCTACAGGTAATTGTTTATAGAATAGGCTGATACGGATCAGCATAAGAAGAAGACGTTCAAAGAGGACTGCGCCGAAACCAAATAATGGGATAAAGACAAGGCTATGATGATGAATTGTTTATAGGACATAATCTTTGGAAATCTTTCCTTTGAAGGAGCGGAAAACCTCCATCCATTTTCTCAAAGTTGCACATTTGTAATATTCACTATAGTGGGCGGCCGCATCTTGGCTCTAACGCTCATAATGTTTAGAGCTTAATAAAATCCTATACTCTGATATAATGTCTCTTTTATAATCATAATGGGGATTTCAAACAGTATTATCTTCAGTGTGTACAGTGGTTTTAGAGGTTACTTTCCCTGTTGCAAAATCCGCTAATTTTAATTACACCAAATAAGTATTAATATAGATATGATATTCATTCCTGGGAAAGGAAAAAACTAACGCACTTACTACTTACTTGTGCATTAATGTAAAAAAATTCTTGTTGATTAATATATAGCTCAGGCTTTTGAGTAAATTGGTGAAACACATGTCGTTTACTACATCCGACCACCTAATAGTCCAGTATGAACAAAGGTATAGTCCATTTTGCGGTAAGCGTACATTAAAGAACTTACTCGTATACTTACTAACTTACCTTTATAGGTGCTCTATGCAAGTTGACCTCCACTTTTTTTTTATTGTAATGTATTTTTTGTAGTGATATTTTGATCCATTTTGTATTAGATACAAATCCACACTTGCATTAATAACCGTTACCCCACACTAATCCGACTTTACACAACGGCATGTATTACTTAATTAATAAACTTGCTGTGCCCAAGGTTTCATCATCGGTGTGAAATGAAATGCCTATGTGTTATTTTGTTTATATATAAGCTATTTTACTGTAAAGTTTCATCAAAATTCGTTAAGTACTTTTGGGTGAAAGAGTCACAAACATCAATTTATCCATATATACTCATAAACTTTCGATTTCTTAATATCAGTAAGATTAATTAACAATAGTAAATAATGTATTT